TATCCACATTCTTGTATTTGCAATCACTGTGTATGGCTGTGAAAGTTGGTCAGTGATGATGGTGCTGGAGGACACGTTTGTGAATACCATGGAAGAGAATGAAAGATGAACAAGAGAATCCTGGATCAAAAATGGAAGCAAAAATGATGAAACTGAGGCTATTGTACTTCAGTCACATTAGGAGAAGACAAGAATTGCTGGAGGAGAAAATAATGCTAGGGGAAATTGAGAGCAAAAGAAGACCAACTATGAGATGGCTCAATTTCATAAAGGAAGCCACCGCCTTAAGTTTACAAGGGCTGAGCAGGGCTGTGAAGGACAGGACATTTTGGAAGACATTCATTCCTAGGGCCATCACAGGTTGGGGACAACTTGACAGTATGAAGCAGCAGCAGCAACAACAATGGCTTTAGAAAAAGGTACTTATATCTGCATGCACATGAATTGCATACAAAATAACATTTTGCTTGCCGATTTATTTTAGTCACTCTGTGGCCAGATATGCAGAATTTGCCAGAAATACAGTCATCTGTTTAAATGCATTAGGACCTTTCTATGGGTCAATCACAGTTTTCAGACAAGCTTAAATTTAAATCAGCACCCTTCTACTTCTAATAGGCATGTATCACTGAAAAATAATTAAAATTAACTCCTTTCCTTTTCCCATCAGAACTAGGGCAACATTGTGCCCATACTTTGCTGATCTCAGGTAATGAGACTTCACAGGAAAGACAAGGAGGAGACAAAGTAATTATCCACAGTTGGGGATTTAGTAGGTGTAAATCGAAGGCTGCTCTGCAGTCTCTCACTGTGCCTTGAATTAGTCTCACCCAAACCTCCTTATACTACAATTTAATCATTTCATACTAAACCCTTTCACGTCTCTGGCTTTTCCTTTCTCAGGTTTTTTATTCAATGTGATTCCTGATTTCCTTCAACACCACACTTCATCATTCCTTGGTGTGCTGGGAACTGTTACATTGTATAAGCATCAGTCATGTGACCGGGAATGATGTGTGGGCCCATGGGTCTAAGATGGCTGATGCAGAAAAGGACAAGGCTCCTGAGCCTTGAACACTTGTTTACCAGAGGAAAATTCAGCAGGGATAGGTACACGTGTCAAATTGACTCTTCTGCATTCCTGTTGACAGTGAAGGAAGGGAATTGGCCAGTTCTGCACCTGGCCATCATAGTGGGAATCATATATATGTGTTCCAAACATTTTGTGCCCATGTATATAGAGCATTTTAGATTCCAAGAGCCTTTACTGGATAAGCAAAATTTTAAAAACTAAAACTGCAATGTCATTAATAACTTGAAAAAGCAATATTGTCATAGGGCCTTATATCAATCTGATTGATCTTTTCTGCACAAACAAAAACACTTACATTTGTGGTATTTGTTTTTCCTTTGGTATGCAGCATCAATAGGAAATTATTCCATATTTTCTTGATGTTCCACATTCTGTCAATTCCCTGATAGTTATCTTTATGAGTTTGCTGCAACTTTCTCCCTCTCAAAATGATAAATGTGTCTAGATATGTTTTTAACTTGTATAAAAATCAAATAAATGAGTGTAAAATGCCATACTTTTGGTGAATAACAACAGCAAATGGAAAAGTTTGGCATTTTTCTATCATACTTAAAGCTGAGCGTGGTTTTCTGGAGGAGACTTGACATTTAGGATCTATAAAGGAAAGATACCAGGTGTTGGCTCATTTGGGAGAGAAGATATCACAACCCCATGGAGCCTAAAAATAGTCATTTGATACTTTCTGGCAACACTTTTTGCCTAGAACTTATATCCAAGGAACTTTTTTTTAATATAGTGCTTGTACACCGTTCTCTCACTATAACGAAAACCATTAAATTAAACTCAGATCATTTCAGTGCATCTCTGACCCTGGACATGGACCAGCTACACCACATGTTAAATTAAATGATGGAAGATGTTAAGTGGCACATGCCCAGCCTGGATCTTACCCTAAAGAAAGCATTCTGCTCTGGGGTGGTAAGATTCAACCATCTTCTTCATCATGTCCATGGATTGCTCACTCAGGCCCTGTTTTCCATCAGTTAAAGGACAGGCATGGCATGTTCTTCCCTCACAAAATGGCCATGGTTAAAAAATAAAACAGAGAATTTCTTACATTGCTTAGGAACAGGTAAAGTACCTTACATTAGATAGAGATAACATCTGTCTTTCAGGAGTATTTTACCTCAAGTTTAAAGAGTGTTTAAAATAAGACTTCCTCATACAGCCATGGCAGAATCAAGTGTCTTCCCCTGACATACACATACCTTTTACTTAAACACACCAATTCCTATTTTCAACAGGATATGTAGGAATATGCTCTTGCAATATGGCAGAAATTGCTTTAGAAAAGCAAGGATGTGATTGAACATCTGCCAACAATTCTGTAACTATTTATTTATTTAAAGTTTTTATATGCTGTCCCCTTGCTATATAGCCTCGGGACGGCTCACACAAATAAATAAATATAATACAAATACGGTTAAAACCCGGAAACACCCCAGCTGCACAATTAAAACCTATAAATATTAAACATTATTAAATATTGTTTGAATAAAAAGGTCTTAGCCTGGCGCTGAAAAACAAATAACGACGGCGCCAGACGGACCTCTCTGGGGAGCGCATTCCACAGATGGGGCGCCACCACAGAGAAAGGCCTCCTCCGGGTATTTTGTCTCCTAATGTCTCTCACAGAGGGCTCCCAGAGGAGGGCCTCTGCTGCCGATCTCAAGGGGCGGGAGGGCAAATACGGAAGCAGGCATTCCTTTAGGTATCCAGGTCCCAAGCCTTTAAGGGCTTTATAGGTGATTACCAACACCTTGAATTTAACCCGGACTTCGATGGGAAGCCAGTGAAGCTGGTAGAGGACTGGGGTTATATGAGAATAACGCCCAGTCCCCTTCAGCAGCCTGGCTGCTCTATTTTGCACCATCTGAAGTATCCAGATTGTCTTCAAGGGCAGCCCCACGTAGAGCGCGTTGCAGAAATCCAACCGGGAAGTAACCAATGCATGCGCACTGTCGCTAGGCAGTCGTCCTCCAGATAGGGACGCAGCTGATGGATTAGCTGAAGCTGATGGAAAACGCTCCTCGCCACCGCTGTCACTTGAGCTTCCAAAGACAACTCTGGGTCGAGGAGCACTCCCAAGCTGTGGACCCTGTCCTTTAGAGGGAGTGCGACCCCATTCAGGACAAGATCCAAGTCACCTTCCCAGGGGCTTGAATCTCCCACCAGCAGGACTACCGTCTTGTCTGGACTGAGCTTCAGTTTACTGGCCCTCATCCAGCCCATTACCTCAGCCAGGCACCGGTTCAGTACAGCCACTGCCTCACCTGGATTGGTGGAGAACGAGAGGTAGAGCTGGGTATCATCAGCGTACTGATGATTCCGCAGCCCATTCTGCAGTGTTTCCTCCCATTCTTGCTCCTCTACTTAGTCAGTCAACAACTAATATGTATATTTCTCCCCTACCTTATCCCAAGCCATCAGAGCAGCTAAATGATAGAATACATTTTACATGCAGAAGTTTCCTGTTTCAGTTTCCTAAGAGCATTCCTTCTAATAGAGAATCTGAGTTGTTGAGTGTCTATTAGCATAGAAGCAAAATGACAAGCTAGAGCAGGGGTCCTCAGATTTTTTAAACAGGGGGTCAGTTCATTGTCCCTCAGACTGTTGGGTGGCCAGACTATAGTTTGAAAAATTATAATTACAATAAATTAAAAATTAATTAAAATTAAAATTAATTAAACATTAAAAATGTTTGCTCTGCTCACTCGGGCTGCAGCAGAAGCACAAGATGAAGCTGCACCGCCTGCCAATAGGGAGATCACAACACGAGGGGGAGCCATGAGGGTGTGCTTGCCTCAGTCGAGGCCTTCCCGGCTCTTCGCCACTGCTCTGCTTCCGAGCCAGAGGAAGGTCCCCTCCCAGGCACTCGCCAGGCTCCGGGAGGAGGGGCAGGAGGCCGGAGAGATGAGTGCGGGGCAGCTTCCCCGGCTGGGAGAGAGCCGTGAGGAGGAAGGTAAGGGCTGCTTTTGGGACGGGGCCGCGGCTGGCCAACCAGGGTGCCTCCCGCCTCTCCCCACCGCAGGAGGAAGAATCATGGTGGCCGCTCAATGGCGGCGGTGGCGGCTTGCCCACAGAAGGCCATGGCTTCCATGCCACCACTATCGTTGAGCAGCTACCCTCGGGCTCGCTGAGGCGGGCGTGGTTCACATAATTAAAAATAGATTTGATTATAACCTATAAAACCCTAAACGGCTTGGGTCCTGGCTACCTGAACGAGCGCTTACGTCCGTATATGCCCGACCGCCCTTTGAGATCTGCGGGAGAGTCCCTTCTCCGGGAACCCTCCATGAAAGAAATTAGGAGAGTAAGTACCCGGAGGAGGGCTTTCTCTGCGGTGGCGCCCAACCTATGGAATTCACTCCCCAAAGAGGTCCGCCTGGCACCGTCGTTACTGGTTTTTCGGCGCCAGGTAAAGACCTTTTTATTTAAACATCATTTGAATTGTTAAAACATATGATCTGGCCAGGGCAACTTCTTCTCCCTTCTCTTTCTCCTCCTATATTTTTATTTTATACTGATAATTTTAATTTTATATTTGTAAATCAATGTATTTTTTGTATTTTTGTATTTAATGGTAATTTATTATGTACTATTGTATTTCAATGTATTTTATCATGTTGTAAGCCGCCCCGAGGTTTCGGCAAGGGGCGGCATAGAAATGTTATAATAATAACAATAATAATAAAAAAAGTTATATTTTTCTTACCTTCAATCCTTTTTTAGTGTCTTTCTCTCTCTCTCTCTCTCTATCTCTTCCGCCCAACTCTCTTCTGTTTCGCGCTCCGTATTCCTGCTCTGTGCATGCATGCAATGGGGGTGGGGGAGGAAATCCAGTGCATGCGCAATTGAGCTGTTGCAATTTGGTTTATGCGCTGGCTCTCTGCTGCTCAGTTTCAAAGAACGCCTGCACCAGCTCAGAGCTTTTGGACTCATCCAGAGATTGTTTTCTCCGAGCAAGTCCAAAAGCTCTGAGGCGGGCCGGATAAATGAGCATGGTGGGCTGTATCTGGCCTGTGGGCCATAGTTCGAGGACCCATTAGCTAGAGTTTTCTACAGATTCAGGAGCAATTCCTAGATAAAGCAGTGCTGTATAATTTTGTCTTCTACCTCCTTACTTTCCAAGCATTCTTAAATGAGGCATTTGGTCTTTGGTTTGTGCGGCAGAAGATCAGTCCAGCATATTCAGATGTGCAGTCCTGTTTCTATCTCAGATGAGAAAACAAAACAAAGGAGAAAAGATTTTACATTTGGATCTGATTCTGAAACAATTATTCTTAACTATAAGAACAAATAGGAACAAGAGGCTTTCTTGATTTCTGGCTATGCCCATAATTTTCTCAGAAACCTGTTTCGAAGATGGCCAAGATGGTACAACGGCAGGAACATTTCTGAACTTTTCACTGACTTTTCATCCCTGCAATTTCAGCCATCAGAGTTGCCAAACATTGTGGCTGCTGCACTGTTTTTGATTTAATCTTAGGCAATTATGGTAGGTAGGCTAGGATTAGGGTGGTCAAGTGACAGAGAAATGTCTGCTACTTGAAAGGCTACCAGAGGACCATCCTCTAACTGAATGCTCCATTTGAAGAGCTGTCCAGTCTAAGTTTAGTTGCCAAATAAAGATCAAGAAGGGGGAAGAAGCAACTACACTTAACACCTGGACAGTTGATTGAGCAGTTCCACAAGCACCTGGGCCAGATTTCTCCAATATGGTGAGATGTGTTGTATTGCTATTAAAATTGGAATATAAATTCCTAAAATTGCATCTATACATATAATTAGCATATCCAAACATTAGGCAAATTGTTGTCCCATTTTGTAATCTTTTTCTGGTAATGTGTTTTCTCATTTTTGGTGGTGCACAAGTGAGTTGTGATATAGCTTAGCTGGCTAGGTTTTTCCTAGATTCTAGCCCTGCCATCTATTGCCCGTTTGGACCCTTAGCTGGACTAGATTTCCTGAATACACTAAGAATAAGAAGTCTCTACCCTTTATAAAAAGCAGCTATATTAGGCAAAATGTGTAGGCAGTATGGCTCTGAGTGAAATCAGAGCTATGAGTGAAAGCTGTAGAAATGTAACTGAAACACTGACTTGTTTGAAGAAAAGGCTTGCTGGTAGAAGCTGTTTTTCAATAGCTGCTCATACAAAACAATAGATGAACCAAATATCTTAGTGTAGCTATGACAGGGCACCAAAAAACAGCTGCCTAGAATCAAAGTGAAGCACCAAACACAGACATTCATATTCTTCAATCTCAAGGTTTATTTCATGCCCAAAATTAAATGGGTTTTTTTAAGTTACCAAGCACAATAAATAAATAAATAGGCGAGGTTCATGAAGATGAAGGGAATTTCTAAAGTGCAAGTGTTAGTGCACGGCTTGGGACCTGGATATCTAAAGGAACGCTTGTGCCCATATATGCCCTCCCGCCCTTTGAGATCAGCAACAGATGCCCTTCTCCAGGAACCCTCCGTGAATGATATTAGGAGGGTGAGTACCCGGAGGAGGGCTTTCTCTGTGGTGGCGCCCCATCTATGGAATGCGCTCCCCAGAGAGGTCCGCCTGGTGCCGTCATTTGTTTTTCTGTGCCAGGCTAAGACCTTTTTATTTAAAACTTATTTTAATTGTTAAATTATTTAATAAATAGGATTTTAAATTTTTAGCCAAGAATGCACCAGGGGTTTTTAAACAATTTTTAAAAAATTTGTTGTATCGTTATTGTTTATTTATTTATTTATTCTTTGTGAGCCGCCCCGAGGCTTTGTTGCGATGGGGGCGGCATAGAAATGTTTTAAATAAATAAATAAATAAATAAATAGTGAGCCTGTTTCAATAAACATTCCAGCCTCCGGCAACTACATCCCCAATTTCCAAAAAAGCCCCCCACAGCACGCATAAAGAACTGCGTATGGTTAAGCCCCAGTTGTTAAGCAGTATTTTCAACAGCTGAGGTAGAAGTCACCACCACCACCACATTTACTCACTTTCTGCCAGTTATTCATTTGAATTTCCAGCCAAAAGGATCCAACCCACAATACAGCTCAGGCCATAGCAAAGATCAGTCTGATTCAATTATCCCCTCTCAGCACTCAGTTCCATCCAGGCGCCTTGTGCTGCATTGACTTGCATGCAAATGTATGTTTTCACACGTTTTATAGACTAATCGAATACATTTTAATGCAATATCAGAGCGAAGTTGCCTAATTAATGACTTCTGGCCAGTACCTAAGCCTTAAGGGAAGCACAGCAGCCTCTTAGGATAGGGCAGGGGAATGCATAAAAGCCTGGAGAGTACCAAATGATCAGCAGTGAGCGAAGGGACAGCACCAGTGGAAGGGGGCATGGAGAACTGAGGAACCCTGGGCAGCTAATTTGGGTCTCCAAGTGGGCCAGATTTGCTCTGTGCTTCTGTACACCTGGAATAGGACAAACCACTTTTAGGCTCCTGTAAATTGACATTCTGTAGAATAAATGCAATGATGCTTCTCTTTCCCTCAAAGAGTTTAATTTGCAGGCTTATCATACCATGCCATGATAAACCTGCAAGTAAAATGGAGAGGTTTGTTGCAGAGTTATAAAGAAAGGGTTCAGTTGGCAGAGATCATTCCTTCCCATCCTTCTTCTAGTCCAAGCACAGATTAGTGATCCTTTGACACACCAACAGTTAGAAAAGCACAGCACCCAAATAATTGAAGACACATTACAGAAAGCCACACTTACAGAATTAATTGTTTCCCAAAGCAGAATGATCACTGCCATGAACAACTATTGTAAACATGCAGTGCTCTAATACGGTGAAAAGAGGGAACATTTCCATGTTGATTATCAAATTAGCTAATATGGACATATTTGGAACAAAATTCCTTGCTTTTCTCTTCCCCAGAAATGCTTTTTGATAGGCATTTGCTATTGGTAAGTGCATTCTGCTTCCTACACATCGAAAAGCTGAAATGGCTGGGGAGGGGGCGCATCGTGATGGGGATCACAACAACTGATTTAAAAGGAGAACGTGGAAACATCTACTGTACCTTTTTTGAGATCTGCTTCTTCAAAACTAAAAATGACATGTCAAGAATCCTGTACTTTTGAAAGACAGAGATTCCATGGGACTGTGAGGAGATCAATGAAATATTCATTATCCTCTTGCATAAATCAACAAAACACTGCTGGATTCAGTTGGATTGCTTCTGAATTTACAACAGATGAAGGAAGAGGAGACTCAAGGCAATAACATTCACATGCACAAGCTTATACAGTAGACTCTCAGTTAACTGGCACTGATGAGGATTGTTAGATGCCAGATAAATGTAGTTCTGGTTGCTTGAGAGTTACTATTAAAAAATAGGCCTGATACTGTACCCCATACCATACCATACCCAATGTATTGATATTAATGTTGAAATACAGTAATTAAAAGCGAATTAAGACAAATAAAGACAAACTTCTGTGTTCTGAGACTGGGCAGTAATGTCATAGATTGTTGGCGAATTGACATTAAATTCCTGCATGAGCATTGCATGACTCTTGCCTTTCTCAAGCCTCTTGCATATTTCCATCTTCTGCTTGAGGTAAGCACTCTGCATTTACAGTTACATAGGACCTGTTTCAGCATACCTGGGGTTGGGTGAGAACACAAAATTTGAATAACAATAGATTCCAGTGACTGGCATGTTTACACTTGGCGAATTGGCAGGACTGGGACACAAACATGTGAGCTTACTCACAGCACAGGGTGTGGCATGTGGGCATGACATGGTGCATGGTGCACCATATTTAAACTTACATTTCTGCTGGAAATTGATTTTCTTTTAATTATTTAAAGTATTATTCAATTTTTTCCCAGTTGCTTGAGAGTACTGGTTGCTTGAAGTCCAATCAATTGAAAGTCTACTGTATTTGGGTACAGTTGCTGTCATTTTACTATACATTATGTGGCTTATGTTCTACCCATCCTTTTTGTTTATGTAATCACATTATTAAATAATGTAGTTAAAAGACAAAAGTATGGTATTATTGGAAAATGTCTTTAAGCAGTGACTGGCAATACTTTTCCATTTCAATGAAGATTCTAGTCAAGCAACTAGAGTAACAATAATAGGTATACAGCACTCTTGGGTGTGCAAAGAGCTTTATAATCCTTAACTAGTTTGTCCTGACAACAGCACTGTAGCTTGAAAGTGAGCAGTCTGCTACCAGCATGCCCTCTCAGTGAGGTCGTCAGTTCAGGTGTTCCTGGAAGTGTTCTGCATGGACCAGTGATCCATGTGGTGTCCACCTTGGCTACAGTCCTTGGTGCACCGGCTGCATGAATTGCCCCTCTCGTTGAGGTCACGCAGGCATGGTCTTTGTTTTGTTTTCAGTGTCTGCTGCAGACATTCTCATTCAAGCAACCCTTCCCTGGCTTGACCAGCCATGGCATTATTGGTATAATCCCATTTTTAAAAAATGGATTCTGCATTTCATTTCTTTTTTTACTGTTTACCCATTCACTGACATCCAGGGTACCAGTTGCTACCTTAAAGTTCGTGAGCTCAGGGTCCTTTTGCTTGCGTATTTCTGTTATATAGTCAGTAGGGTGCAAGCCAAATGCATTCTTTGTGGTGATTTTATTTTTTGTTGAAAGTTGGATGCATGTGGAGTAATGAAGTAATGTATCTGCAACCTGCTTGACAGTTGTGGGAATGGCAGCAGTGACATTTCTGCTTGCCTGTTGGATGGAGACTATATGAACAGAGGTGAATCAGTGCTAAACTGCAGATCAACAACCCTGGAGCGTCACCACTGCTTCCTCCCCCCCACCCCCCGGTCGTCATTTCCAGGACAGTTTGCCAGCACTAGGGTCACCGAGCCACCAAGAGGCTGCTGCCTAATTCCAGGGGACACGAACACACCAGCAAGCGTTTCCTTTGCAGCCAGCAGACGGTGGCGCAGAGGAGTTTGTTGCTGCATAGCCCTTGCAGTGAGCAGGCAACAAGCATCTCTCCAGTACCACCCAAAAGTTCTCCTCAGACTGGCAGCATCACTTGTTTGAACCAGCCTGTGCCAGCAATGCACAGTGTGCACATTGCATCTGATCCTGGAGGTAATATAATATAGCAAGCGTGATCCCCACGCACAGATATCTTCCATGAGAAGGTGCAGATGGGGGTGATTTCATCAAGCGTTCCAGCTGCAGAGGTGGGAGACTTGGTTCTAATTGTTCCAGGAAAGGATGAGATTAGCATTCCTTCTTTGGACAGGACATTTCTTGTCAAAATCTCTCCTTCATCCTCACTTGTGTGCCTGCAAACAGGTAAGGAAAAATTTGTTACATAGTTGCCAGCTGCATATCAAAAGAACATCTGATTTGGGCTTCAGTGAGTTCATCTGTGAAATACAATTTTATCAGGAGCATTCCTGATTCACAACTCCAATTCTCAAGGACTGCATTGTTAACCTCTAAGGTACATCAGTTCTCAAATGATGAAGCATAGCGGTGCAATGAAATAGGGACGATGGAGAGCTATCATTTTGACTGGATTCAGAGCCAAGGGTTGAGAATGGGGTGCGTATGGGTTGTTGCTGAACTGAGAGTTAACATGTTCTATGAAACAAGCTGTGCTAACAAGCTATGGCTTATTAACCATGAACAGCCTATGAAAAGAGCTTATGGTTTGTTGTTGGGTTGTAAACTGTGGGTTGTATCCCAGCTGGGTTCAGGCAGCATGATCACCCACATTTCAAGAACAACCCAAGGTTTAGCAACACAGCAGATGCAACCCAAACCAAACCTTCCACCCATTGCTATTTAGAACTGTGCTCTTTTTAGCCTATGTGATGTGGAAATTAGAATGTTGCTTTTTCTGTATCATTCACATTACTAAAGTGTCTTTTGTTGTGCTTGTTCCAACAGGTCACCACTGTTCTTTTGTTAACTGATGGCTTCCATACTCATCCAGCCAAGGACTTCTCTTATTGTCTATCAAGAACTTAATGTCTGCCAGATCATTCCAGAATAGTTCTTACCATATTTGCACACAAGTTGGGCACTGAGAAGTTTAAATAGCTGTTGGCAAGTCTTTGGTTTCTATACATTTACAACTGGGGACAGCAACATTATTCCCGTGTCCCAGCATAAGAATAACATGTTTATATCACACTTGTATCCCAAGTTCCATGAGATATGTTAAGCTGAAACATAGTGATAATACAGACAGTCCCCAGGTTACAAATGAGTTCTGTTCCTGAGAAAATGGAAATTTGTCTTTAAGTCTAATTTGTATCTAAATCGGTTTATGTCTAGTCAGCCCTCCACATTCATGAGGGTTAGGGATGCAGGAACCATGAAAGTGGAAAAACCACAAATAACTCTAGGCTCCCCACTCACCAGTGCCTCTTCTTTGCAGAAAGGAAATGTTGGGGAGATTTCCCTCTCTGGATGGGTGGGAGCAGGAAGGCATGCTTTGGAGGCCTACCTCTCTACCATTTCACCTCCCATCTCTCTCTATGGTCTCCCCTCTCTCCCCTCTTGCTTCCTCTCTCTATGGTGATGACAATTTTCTGCAGTAATTTTTAGAATTAATAGGCTTTATGGCAGTTCTTTTGTAAGTATGGGTTGTTCATAACTTGGTGTTCATAACTTGGGGATTGCCTGCATACAGTCTTCTGCTATATGCATATCGTTCTGTTAAATAAAATTTAACATGGTCTTAAGTAAGCAATGCTTACTAAAATTCATTGTTACACCTGAGTAATATTGATATTTAGGGTCTCTCTACATTATGGACATAGAATTGTTTATCAGTTAAACTGTGGTGCTTTTTTCCAAGGAATTCCAGGAACTGCAATTTGACACAGTGACTAAGATGTGTAGTAAGGAGTCCAGCCTCCATCAAAGAATGTCAGTTTCCATGGAACAATCATACACACTCCGTGTGCACCTATGTGTGTATATACATACATGCACTCACTGCTATCATGTTAACCATGACTGGGTGAGGGGGTTTCATTATTGCTACAATAGTGCCAATGAATTTCATTACCTTGAGGCTATATTCCACAAGGACAATTAAGAAAATTGGTCAAGGAGTAACATCTTAATATTCCAATATTACATTTCCAACAAGATGGAAATTAATGTCCCAGTTATGCACAGAATTGCTGGAAGGTAATTGTTGGGTAATATTTCTAGATATTGGTATCTCCATTCCAAGGACAGCCCAAGACTCCAGTTTCCAGTGCTAACTGTATTATGTGTAGGGCTGAAATTAATCTGTACAGATCTTTTAAAGTTGAAAAAACAATCCTAGTAGCATCGATATGTTCCTGAAAGCATAATTTTAGAAATCCAGTTCTGAGCATTCAAGAGAGCAACTAGCACAAGGTCACATGGGAGAACCCTGAAGAGCATCACTTAATCCAAGCCCAGCACTGCACACTCCCTTACAGACTGAGATCAGGAGGTGCCAGGGGCAAGAAACAAGAGAACTGGGTTTGTGAACTAAGGCAAACTTTGGTGCAATCCAGCAAGAATTTTATCTGCTTCCTCCTTTTTCTTTTGGATTCAGCAATGCAACAGCTTCGAATATCCCCAGTCCCGGGCCTTTCACTAGGCCCACATCTCTTTTACTCTTAACATTCAGGGTTTGAGAATCAGCAGAATGTGATGTTCCATGCAGTAACTGAGGCATACCAACTCTGCCTTCATCTATTTAAGGGACTGTATTCAAAGAAGTATTCAGTCATCATATTAATCCTCACACTTTTAATTGGAGTCAATTAGTGTGCTTATGGCATCCTCCAGATTTGGACTGTAGACCCCAGTATTCCCAGCCAGCATTGGCATGCTAGCTCGGGATGATGAGAGTTGTAATCCTACCCATCTGGAGGGCTCCACACTGTCACACTGCTGTAAAAGAACAAGTCCAATGATAGGGCTGATTCATTCATTAAGAGTTCCATTCCATAATGCAAGACAGACCATTTGGAAATACCTCATTGAGAAGAAATCCTTCTTAATATAGGGACTGAAGCTCAATGGTTGCTGCACTATATAGTACATTTAAAGCCAGAATAGCCACACATCATTAACAGTGAATCCTGAAGAGTAAGCCAAGGCACCATCAATAATTTATGTTGATACGCTCCCTCCCTTTCTCTTATCTCTCACTGGTCTCACCCCACCACCTCTCTTTTATTACATCTGCCTTTGAAATTGTGTAGAATGCTCTAAATCAAATGGCATTACCTAGGGAAAAAACAAAAAAGCCTAAAAATTTCCCTGAGGAATCTGAAATGTAGAGAAAATGTCCATGCTTTAAGTTGCATTTTATAACCGAACAGTGTGTTATCTTACAAGAGCTTTCCCTGCTGACTTGAGCATCCCCTGAATGAAAAATCACCTTCAGGGAAATCCAGGTTGTTTACACTTTGGATTATGAATGATGGCTCTGCTCTAGACCATAATGGGGTTTTGAACCCCCCTGGGAACTCCTCCAAGCATGGAAAGGGTGGAATTGACAGGACACTGAAGTGCAAGACAGCACTGAGCCCCATGTCTCGCTTCAACATCAACTTGTGGTGCTCAGAAAATTCCAGCAACAGGCAAAAGTGCATAATTTGCCCAGTGCTGCTTTAATTAAAGATTCTTGTCTTCTAAAGCCATGTATTGAGTATTTTGCATTTCTGAATCTCCTCCAGAACTTCAGCTCTCGAGTAGGATTGGCATGCAGTAAATGACCAAATCTGTTCGTGACTGCTCTCTGTGGCTGGTAGCGCTCCTGGGTTCCTTCTGCCTGGACCTGACTGTAAATATTTCAAGATTACCCATGTTTGTATGTTTTTGTTTGGTCCCAGGAAATGGCATTTCTGTCTCTTTGCACTGTCAGATTACTGCTGTTTGGCACACAGAACAATTGCCATGGTCTCCTCAACCTGGAGCATTCTAGATGTGTTGGCCTATAGATGCCACCATCTCCCAGTTAGCCCACACATTGACTGTGTTGGCTGGGGATTATGGGCACTGTAGTCCAACATATATGGAGGGCACCAGGTTGCGGAATGCTGAGTTCCAGTTTAGTGTATCAGCTGATGCTTAAACTGGAAATATCCGGAATTACTTGACAGCAAGAAACTTCTCAGCATGAGATGAACCCACAAGAATGAAAAAAATGTTACAAATGTAGCAGTAGCGAGTACGTACATTCAATTTAAGCCTTGGACATGTTTAAGGAGCCCTAACTAGCAGCTGGGCTCACAGGGACGTGACGGGGAGGACTTGCATACATGCCTGAGTTCCCCTTCCTGTCTGCAGAGGGGGAATAGTCAATGAAATATGTGAAAATCAATTTGTACTGAGACTTTTTGAGTCTGTTTACTCTGGGCAGGTAGATTTTCAAAATGCAGAACATGGTAAGCTGATTTCAAAATTGAAGCTTTTTAAAATCAACCTTAAGAAGCTCACATTGGAAAAATAAGGTTTTTTGTAAGGCTAAATAACCAACCTTCAGTTACCAGTGTTTGGAAGAAGTGGGACTTGTCTGATCCCACTTTGAGGATATGACCATCCTGGCAGCAACTGGAAAATGCAGGATCCAACAGCACTGCTGGTAGCCCAGAGGTGGATTTGTCCCAGGGCTGGCTCTAATTTTGCCCTCTATCCTGCCAGTACCTCATTTCCATCGCTACATATTGGGTTGTGGAGTGAGGGGATAAAAGGAGAGAAATAATTTTTAAAATCCTCCACATGGTCATCCCCCACTCTGCTTTCCACTGAAGCAGCTGACCCACGTTTCAAGCCATGCCTGAAGGTCCCCTCAGAAGACCCTTTCTGGGGATGAGGGACTACAGTGCTGAAGGGGGGTGAGGAATTCCCTTTGTGCATTTGGTGCAAAGCAGACTACATACATGCATGCAAAATTAATCAAATCACAAACCTGAATGTAAGGAAAAGGAATCCTAGGCCTTGAAAGAGGGTGGAAGGCAAATCCCATCTGGCCATTTTCTGCCAATCTGGCATAGCTGTGACTTGGAGGAATATAGTACCTTATACTGAGCTGGACCACTGGTGCATTCATTCAATCTTGTCTCTACTTCTCCCAGACCTTTTTGGAGAGGCTACAAAGCCAGGCTGGCACTTTTCACAGGCAAAATATACCATCTTCTCTTGTTATGATGTGAGGGAAATCCTCCCTGACCTTCTACTGGCTCACTCCACAGCGGCATGCGAGATCAGATAAGCACCGGCTGTTCTCCTGAGCCTGGAACTCAGAAGGAAGGTGGAGTTCATCCCTGACCTTGTGCTG